TATATATGATATAATATACTTTTGAATATTTTTTATTACGACATTGAAGAGCCAATTTAAGTATATTATTCCATTTTTTCGCAGTATGTATCATTACCAGTACACAATTGGATCAAATATGCTTCTAAAGACTTCAATATAGATTTCTCAAGCAATTTTGTTCGATACAATCATAAATTCTATGCCAATATTGGTACTCTGTGAAAAAATGTGTTATACAATTAATAAAAATTAATACAATAATAGCCAAATATACAATATACTTTCGATAATACGTATTGACCATTAGCCCATGAAATATCATATCTGTTATAGAGAAAAAATGTAATGGAGAAGAGAAAAATTGAATTGATAGGTCAAAAAAACTGAATACATTTTTTTTTATATTTTATGGTTCGAATGAAGGTGTGAAATCCGACGGTACTATACAACCGGCTTAACTTAACCTGTGAGAAATCGATTTCAATAAAAAAAAATTTTTATACCAATTAATTCAGTTTTTTCTGTTTCTCTAGTACAATTTTTGTTTATCAGACATGCAATTTCACATGCCAATAATCAATACAAAAGAAAATAATGATTATATAAAATAAATTTAAAAATATTTTGAAATGTTAATATTATATTAAGTTTTAAACAGCACTTAAGTATATACTTAGAGCACTTTGTGCACAACGCAACGTTATTAATTATGAAAAAAGCAAATTATTATAAAGTTGAAATATTTTCACCGATAAAATTAAAATTAAATTCTCACAACGTTTCACTTGAATTTATACAAGCAATATTTTTTTACACCTATACACTATTTATTTATAATTATAAATAAAAAGTTGAATTGCACTAATTTAATTAATTTATATAATTTAATTATGGAAAAAATCTATTTAGAAATTTGATATAAAGTTGTAAAATATTTTTTTTTTAATAAATATTTTAATTTACAGGATAGTATGGAAATTTATTATGTGTATAATTATTTCTTAAAATATATAGCTATATAGGAAACAATAATAATAAAATGTAAAACTTAGTAAAATCTTATTCGAATATAAAATAATGTATAAAGAATTTTTGATAAAAAATGATAGTATTACAAATTGTTTGGAAAAATTACCGTTTTAAATACTTACCAATAATTTCTCGCTCTCTAAAATTATCTTCACTTATTGTATAAATTTAATCTTCCCTATCCGCACTCTAAAGGTCTTTTTAGTCAAGTCGAAATTAATATTTTATAAATTCAAATTTAGTTTGATAAAATATAAAATTTTGAAAAAGTATAAGAATTAATTTCGAACTTGATAAAAAGATTATTACACAAAAGGAACATAATATTAAAAATTGTAAAAAAATTATTACTTAAATAAATAAATAACTACTCAGCTACTTCAGGGCATAGCTTAAACTTAATCCAAACAATACGTACATAATTATCTATTTATTTTAATAAATTAATTTAAAGAAACAAAAATATTACTTAAATATTGAATTAAAATCGTACATAACTGTTATGTAATAATTCTACATAACTGTTATACAAACTGTTATACAGACTGTTATACAAACTGTTATACAAACTGTTATACATAATTATTATACAAAATTTTTATACGAAACTAACTCAAAATGCATGACAATTTAATACACTTTTATACGAATTAATTGGAATAAAATAAGAGTATTTTGCGACTATGTGTATGTTCATGGCGATATAAACCGACAAGTATACACTTTATACAAATATTTCTTGTTAGAGTACCCTTTAACTTATTTTTTTAAAATATAAACACACATTTAAAATATATTGGCTTAAGATGAGAAAAAATCTTATTAATTTTGAAATATTAAACAATATATATTAGACAAATATTTAAAATTCACAAAAACTTTTCAAAATTGAATAAATTTTAAACCTTTTTTATTGTTCTATTTAATTTGTTGACATATCAAAAACGTTTAAAGGTTAATTAATTTTCTATTTCTTTTTCATGTGATTTACACTATTGTAGTTTATTCTGAAAACAAATTGCAAGAACCTTTCGTTTTTCAATTATCCTTTAATTACTTTTATCAGTATTTTATAAAGTCCTTTAAATTATTTTGAAGCATTTTCCATTCCTACAATAATATTAATATAAGTTCCTTTAATATATATATATATATATATATTATATATATAAATTTAATTTCATTAATAATGAACATTATTTTCTTATCATATGTTCTCCTAATCATTTGCCATCACAACGATTATATTCTAAATATCTTCTATATGTAGGAAAATTTAATAAATATTTTAACATTTATTTTTTTTCTATTTTAATATTTTTATTTATAGACGACGACTATCATACCAACGATCAGTTTGGATTTAATATAAAGAATTATGCTTTAAAAGAAAATTATCTGCTTAAATTTTTTTAATTTTTAATTTAAATACACACACTAAAAAACACACATATACAATATAAAATAATATATAATAACTGCTATCTAATTTGGGGAATCTAAGATCATATAAATAATTAATTTTAATTCTAAATGGGATAAATTTTCCGTAAGTTTCAAAAGCAATTTTTTTTCATTCTTTTGATATTTTTCATGAAGTTTATGATAAAATCATACAACATATTTTGAGAATATTGTAAAAACCCTTTGTTTTGTTTCTCGTAAATCAAAATATTATCTTCTAAAATTAAAAAAAAAAATTTAAATAAAAAATTAATTTATTCCCCTATTTTTAGTATGAATTGTATTTTAATCGCAAAACTCATTCCTATATTCAATGCACTTGCATGAAATTTTTAACTATTCATTATTTTTTCAATAATGAAAATCGTCGTTTAGTTCTAAATTAAAATTCTAAATTAAATATATTTTTCTATAAAAAAATATATATACATGTATACATTATATACATGTTTGTATAAATTTTTGTTTGGACATTTTAAACGTTTTCAATTAGTTAACAGTAAAAGTTTTAGATTCTTGCGCAAAATTTGTAATTTTAATGTTTTTACATACCTATATTATGTTTTGTTTTTGTAAATTAAAATCAACATAAAGAAATTTTGTACATTCATAAATCATATTCAATATGAACCATATTCAAATTTTATTCATTTTAAAATTAAGTTCGGAAAAAAAACACTAATCAACAAATGCAACCATATGCAATTAATTTTATTAATCATCGCTATCTCGCAATTTTACCCTATATACCTATCAGATTTACAAAGAAAATTAATTTTTAATATGTAGTAGTTTTCAATATTTTAAATTATTTTATAGCACCTTGCGATCGTTCCATATTTAATTAAACAGCAAGATTTCTTGTTAATTTCATTATCACTTTTTCAAACTGAGTTCTTTAAAATCTATTTTAATTACGCAGAAAATTTTCCATATATTGTATATTGGCATTTATTTTTAACTAAACAGTTATAGTAGAAAAGCATTATGTAATAACAAACTGAATCAATTAAAACACGAGTTTTAAAGTAACAAAAAAATCAAACTATCACTTAAAAATTTTCAAGATTACTGCAAATTCTCCCGAACTTCAATATAAAAAATAAAGACAGATAATTGTCACTTTTTCCTACTTTATATTGAAAAGCTTCGCTTAGTTCGTTCTGATAATAGAGAATATTATGTCCTCTTTGGCTTTTTTTTGTACTTGATGAATTTTTAGAAAACTAGTCTCATTTCAATCCGATACAATTAAAACAAAATTATATATTAAAAATTATGGCATAATGGCTAACGGACACGTCATTTCATTCATGTTTATTAACTATTATAACTAGTATAACACATAAACATATTTAAGTTAATTATAATTTTAAAACATTTATACAGAACACTATGCACAAATTGTTAACATTCTCAAAATAATGTGTTTAACTTAATAATCACATAAAAATTACGACATTAATTGCACACAAATTTAATTCAAAATGTTGGGAAATTGTTAGAATTAGTTGAAAAATGTTTAAATCCAGTTTTCTATATATCAAAATGAATTAAGAAGAATCAAATCCAACATAATAGAACAAAAATAGATGAAAATTTACATTTATTTCTTAATTCCGAATCGATTTGCTTCGAGAAAGTGTAATTACCACAACTATGACTAAAATTTTTCTTTTCCTCAATGGGGCGCTATATTTTTATAATATCGCTTTGTTCTCTTTCTATTAATAAAATCATTAAAATGAAGATCCGATTAAAGCAGGATGTAAAGGGTTGAAGGAGTTTCTGTTATAGAATGCGATAACATTAAATTGATTTGAATTTTAAACTTGTGGAGAACTAAAAAAATTTTTTTGTTTAATTACACAGACTTTGAAATTTGAATCAAAAACTTTGCAAACAAAAAATCAAATGTTTTTGAATCAAAAACTTCGCAACAACAAAATTCAACGTGTTTAATATAATTACACCTTAATTCAATTGATATAAACTTTAAAACATAAAATATTGCACTGTAAAATACTTCGCATGACCTTACAAACATTCAATTTGACAACATTTTCATAGTTCCACAAAATATTAATTAAAAGACAATCATATGACTTTGTAAATAACAAGAATTATTTTAGAACCTTTTTTTTCGAAAAAACATATTTAATTTTATTCTTTCTATTTAAACTCATATATAAAATATTGAACTACCAAGTAAACGCACACTGATATTATCATAGAACAGCGAAATTCAAAGGAAAAACAAAAAAATTTATAAAATATTTTCCTTTTTTTTTTTTCTTCAAAATTAGTTGAAAATTTTAGATGAAAAAAATTTTTTTTTTCTTCATTTTATAGAAAACGCCTATGTTCTTGTGTATTATACATTAAAATTTAAATTTTTGTGCTTAAATAGTTTGTATAAAATTTTAAAATTAAAAACTATGCATTAAAAAATGAAAAATCCAGAAGAAAATCAAGTAAAAACAAAAACAAAAAAAAAAAACCAAAATTTTCATCTTTCATTTCAGTTTGAAGGAAGCGATACTGGAACCATAGTTTCTCCTTCCAAACCTAAATTAAGTGTAAGTTGATAAAAAAAAAAAACCGGAGCACGCTAAATTTTTATAGAAAATTTTCTCAATATTTTTTTGCATATTATATACAAAACAAATTTATAACATTGGAATTTATAACACTGAAATTAACGTAATACAAAAATATATACAGTAGCTGCAACCATATTGCATTTAAATTATAAAACAAAAATTAAATATTTTCCGCAATAAAAAAAAAACAACAAAACTTCTGAGTTTCTTTTATTGAAAAGCTTTATATATGATTTCGTTAAACTATACTTTATATAAGTAGCGCAAAATTGAGTCTTTAAAAAATTTATTTTTCCAACAGAAGAAAAAAAAAAAGAAAAAATTAATTAGGATTGCATTCACTTTCGCTTCGGCTTGCTTTATATACAAATTAATGCATGTAAATATTTTCCATCCCAATATACTTGTAGTATAAATATTTTTTATTAATATAAAAAAATCCCCCAAATTTTAGGCACATTACACAAAATTTAGAAAAATAAGAATGTATGTGTGTAATTTTTAGAAATATATATATACATAAAATATTTAGTTCCCTCAATTTTAAATTTTTAAAATTAGAAATTATTCAAGAAGAAAAATATTTTGCTCAAGAGCATGTGTCCAATTTTTTTTTCACATATTTTAAATTAAAAAAATTATGATAAAAATATAAAATATTTAATAATTATGTGCACAAGTTGTAAAATAAAATAGTAAGTATTCTTGAAATTATTATTGAATTATTTAAACAGAAATTAAATTATTTTAAAATTTAACGACATTTATTCTAAAAATTTGCAATTAAAACTATTTTGGCAGCACAACATTCGAATCTAGAATAAAAGTCCGAAAATGTTTTTTTGCTATCTATCGTTCTTATCTAAATTTTTACGAATTCAATACATGAAGCGTACAATACAAGCGTACAAACTCATTTGGTTACACGTATTAACGGTTCGTCGGACGGCCATTCCCCTGATCTGTACGCTAATTCAAGACAATGCTCCGCTATCACTCCTGTTACTTCTCCGATCTAGTTAGTGCCTCAAGAGCCGTCCCGGACCCTAAATCAGGTCAATTTCGAACTGTTTCGTCATCTCGAACCGTTTTTGTTCAATCTGAAATTAGTCGCCTCTGCTTTCAATACCTTTATCGCCGTCTGTGCCATAACAGGTAAAACATCACTTATTTCCACCACTGTCGTCTGAAAGACCTGACTTTGGAATTTGGTAGCAAAATCGCTACCAAATTCCATTCTTATTCTTCAACGCGGAATTATCACAATACCAAAACCAGAAATTCGACTAAAAATTACTTTTAATCGTTATTAAAAAAAAATAAATTAAAACAATAAAATGAAATTGTTAAAAAAATATTTCAAATATTTAAAATTTAAAGCAACTCTAAAGATTTCATATGAATTCATTTTAATTATTAAAACATTCCAAATTTTCCTTACCAAAAAAAAAACATTTAAATTTTTAAAACAAAAAATTAATGAATTTCTTATTTTTATTTCTATAAAAATTTAAATTATAATGAAATTTCTACAAAAAAAAAACAAAAAATATTGTTGAAAGAAAAAAATAAAATTAAATCTAAAATTTCCTTGCAATTTCACACAGACACACATACAAACTCCATATTAATACAAACATACAAACTCCTGTATATTAAAAACACAGAAAAAGCATTAAAAATTATTTATTAATACTTTATTTAACTTGGTATATAAGTTATAATATATAACCGTAAAAGATGTTCCGGTTTCGAATTTCCAATTATGAAATTGCTGCTTTTTTTAGTTATGATCGAAGGTCGATGTTTGTTGCAGTTGAATTTGTGCCTTATTTTATGATTCTGTTCAAAAGTTATGTTAAGTTACGGTTTATTCAAAAAATCAATTATTCAAGGACCCAGAAACATATAGAAATATTACTTCATATATATATTATAGCAATTTTTGTTACGAAACTTCTTGATCGTGCTAAAGTTGAAAATTTACTTATAGACTAGTTTGCTTCTTAGTAAACAAAAATTTAAGAAAATAGCTCAAGTGGCTACAGTATAAGCCGATTTATTTTTTTAAAAAATTTTTAATCCAAAATTTTTTTTTCCAATAACAATTAAGAAATTTAAAAAATTAAAATTATCAAAAGTAGTTGATTATTTCCAAAATTTACAGGCACTCTTTCAGTTACTTTTCATTTTTACAACCAGTCAATTTCTTTTTTTACAAAGCATCCTATAGAAATCTTATATACATACACATACACAACGTTTACTGTTATACTTTGTAAACAAATTATCGCATATGCTTGAAGTTCCGGTATTACTTTTTAAGCAACTCTTGCTTCCTTAAAATTCTATTTATATTCTATGTATAAAAAATATTAAAAAAACAAAAATTCATAATAACAAAAAATATTTAATCGCTTGATAACTTTATAAAATAATAAAAAGAACATTCAAAATAAAGGATCCGCCACTTTAAAATTTTTACAAAAAGTATTCAGAATTGATATACATATATCTACATTTACATATATACTTAAAATTAATATAAAACTCAGAAAACATAGAGATAGACGGATGTTCAAAGAAATTAATATGCAATGTGAATGAATATTTAAAATGACTGAAGCGCGAAAAAAATACCAGTCCAGATCGAAGTATTCTTATGGTATATGAAGAGAGTAACCTTAAAAGACCTTTTACTGCTTAAAAATAGAAAATAAAATAATAAAAAAAAAATTGAATTAAAAAGTAAAGAAAATCAACAAACAAACAACGAAATATTTTGCAATCAACGAAATATTTTGATCCTCCTTTCTTCCTCCTTTTTATAAATTCTCTACACAAAGTAACATAAAATATTTTTGATTCATTTTGAGGGTCATTTTAAGAAATTTCAATATTTCTGTTATTTTAATTTCTTATTGAATTTATTCTAAATTTTTCCGAAAAGAAATCGGCTTTCAGTAATAATTTCGCAAATATTAAAATTTTCGATATAATCTTCCCAAATTTTATCTTTTGAATCTGTTTTTAAATTTCCTAATTTTTCCCACTCGCAAAAATCAATTTCTTATTTCTTATTTATTAATTCTCAATATCAAATAGACAAAATTGTCTACATTCTGAACTTAGTTAATTCTCTTAATTAAATGGGTGTAAGTTTAATTTTTTATGACTATTACAAGTGAAAAGAGAAAATCATAATTCACATTTTATTTTGAGATTTAAATATGTCTTAAATAGAGAAAATATTTAATTAAATATTCAAAGTACTTAAGTTAAATATTACAAGGTTCTATATTCCAAAACAAATACCACCACCTTATTAACCCTGTGGCAAATTCAAATTTTCACCCTAGTATTTTTTTTGCTTTAATTAAAGTGTTTAAGTATATTATATAAAAAATTTAAAAGATTTTAAACAATAAAAATATGCTACAATTTATACGAAAATTAAATTTTGAAGATCTTTTTTATTATAAAATTAAATATGTTATTATTTTCAAAGGTTTTTCTAGCATTTAAGAAGTGTAAACCTTCATCGTATGCTGTTAACAAGTTCTTGAATTTATTAAATTTAATTTTTTGTAAACTAATTGCATTAACTCCAACGAATAGTTTTGCAGTACATACACTGCTTATTTAGAAAATTCCTTGAAATTTTTTGAAATGTAATCAAGAATAAATTTTTTAATTTAATTCCAATGTTAAATTAAAGATTATTAAAGTAAGTTTAATGTTGCGTTAAAGTAAAATCAAGCTGACGCAACAGATTTTTTTTCAACTCCCAAAACAAAATGTAACAAAATGTAATGCTTTTACTATATATAATCCTATATAAAACTATATCACCTGTACACAATTTCCGAAATCTATTCTCGGAGCATTAATCTATCTAATCTATCGATCTAGATTTAATAATAGCACATATGAGGAAGAAACAATTCTTCCCTTGAACTGCATATACCTTATCTTGTCCTCTATATCAACCATCTACATTATTCTAATCTCAAATTTTAACTCAATACCTAAGAAATTATTTCCGAAACAACAACGCCTCCTGATGGTAATCGCTTGGCTGTCGCACATAGTTTATATGTTACTTTCGTCATTGATTATCAAAATTTACACAAGATTTCTACTTTGTGGTAATGATACTCATAGTTTTAGCGAACTTTCATATTCGTACAATGGTTCACTTCCCCAACAGTTGGGACACCAAATCTATTCTTATTATTATTAATTAATTATATTAGTTTATCCAAAAGAAATTATTGAAATTATGACCCCAATTTGATTTTAAATTTATTAATTTTAATAATGTCTAACAAATAAAGAAAAAGTACAATAAATATTTAAGTTCAGAAACATTTACAAATATTATAGTTTTTCCGTACCAATCCCGCATAACTTGATTATTTCAAATTAAAGTACCTATATTTAATTAAATCCTATATACGTAATCGAGTAACATTTTCTCTTTTTATTTTTTCAACATAGTTTTCATTTAATCAATTAATTTATATTATTTAAAAAAAAATACAATCAATCTTAATATTTCTTAAAAAATATCTTGTATTCTTAGTCCAGTATTCTTAGTGCTCTTAATTAATGTAATTTAGCTTTTTATTCGAAGAAATACGCTATCGAAATGTTAGAAGCAGATATACATGAGTTAATTACAGAACTATTTTTTTATTAGCATAGTATGGCGTAATAATCAAATACTTGTTGAACTAATTGGAATAATTTACATTTTAAACGAAAATTATATCGAAATACCACAATAAGTGGTACAAATTTTATTAAAATCCCAAAAACTAGAATGTAAACGGTTTCTAATTTACTAATTGTTAAAGATTTAGTGAACAATTAAGTTGACAACTTATTAATAATAACATTAAATAAAAGATTTATAATTTACTATAGCAATTAAATTTTTGAATTTTCTAAAATTTCTGCAAAGCAAAAGATTC